CAATGGTTAGTACATTGTGTATTGTTATTGCCAAAGTAGTTTCTCATATTACAAGATATAGGCAAGAAATAATAAGCAAAATTAGCCATTTTAATTAAGCACATTTTACTTTCTTCATGGTGGATGTTGTTCTGTTTTTGGTCCTGTTTAAGAACTCTGTGCTGCCTGTAAAGTTATGAAGGTTCTGTTTTTTAGAACCCAGGGCTTTCACAGTAAGTTGCATAACCCACACCTCTTGTAAAATTTTGAAACAGTGTCTTGCTAAGTTGTTGAGTTGCTCAGGTTAGGCTTGAACTCCAGTAATCCTGCCTTAGCCTCCCAGAGTGCTGAGAATATAGGTATGTGTTGCCATACCTGTTACTTTATTCATTTTGTATGGCTGAGTTATATTTCATTGTATGGATAGAGCTATACCACATTGTGTTTATTCTTCAACTGATAGATATTTGGGTTGTTTTCACTTTGGCTGCCACCACTAATGTTGCTATAAAAATTGTTTATACTTTGGGTTATGGTTAAGCAGTAAACCCTGAGGCATAGTATATAATAAACGTAATCATAAATTTACTCTGTATTAGTTTTCTTTTAAAAAATAGGTTTTAGGGGGCTGGGGATATAGCTCAGCAGTACAGTGCTTGCCTGGCTTGTTCAAGTCCCAAGTTTGATTCCTCACACACACACACCCCCCAAAAAAACCTCCTATAAAAACAGGCTTTAAAAGCAGGCCTTATTTACTAGAAAGTAGCATATATAGGACTTATATTGATCACTGTTTTTAGATTCTGTGGTTGCAAATGCTTAAAAAACATTTTCAGTTTATATTCTGCCTGTTTGGTAGTTAGGTTTGGAATTGACTTCTTTTTGCTTTAGGTGAAACCAGTTTTATTTGCATTAATTTCTACTGATATTTTTGGTTTTCAGTTAAATAAAAAATGAATTGCTTCTAAAAAAAGAATTGAGGCCAGGGAGATAGCTCAGTAGAATAAGTGTGTGCCTGGCAAGTGCAAGGTCCTGAGTTCAATACCCAGTACCACCAAAAAACAAAATTTTTTTTGTTAAGAAAATGAATTGCTTCTAAGGGAAAATGGAGCAATATATACCTACCTGTTATGATTCAGCTTTTTACTTCTTTCTGTAGAGTGTAAATATAAGTGTAGGATTTATTTAACCCTTCCTAGATTGCACAGATCCATCAATGTTGAGTGTGTGTCAAGTTTCGGGGTTTTAGTCAAGTGATACTTTTACTCATTGTTAGGTTTTTTTTCATAATTTTATTGATAAACAGCAATGAGACAGTTTCAAATCAAATCAGTAGGACAGTTTCAATAACTAACACACTGCATATATTCTTCTTAGTGGTTAACTGCTGTACAAGATGTAGACTTGAGATCCTATTTACAAACACTATTAGAACAAATCATTCTATTCATTAAGAGAATGTAACTATATATCTATCCTAACCACTTTGAATACACAGATACAAAATGGACATTCATCGGTATACCCTATTTTTTCTAAGTTCCGTTATTGAATGTTATAGGTGTGTAAACTCAGCAAAATATTCTAAAAGAGTCCAGTAGCCCATAATAGCATTGGGTCTTCTGTTTAACTGGCAATGTCAGAAATTATTGACCTGAGTCCCCCACAGCTCAACATAACAGCATGTCATTGTTGGTTTCGATTTTCAAAACCACCATTGTGTGTTTCTTATTATAGACATATCTATTCATATTGGCAAAGTAGAAGATTTGTAGATGAGTTGTAGCTCTTCCTTTTGGTAGCTCTCTGTTAACATGTTAGTTATTGGGCCATGATGGTGGTGATGGGGACAAGGATGCCAGGCAACTTTGATTTGAATTCAGTCAGTCTTGCTGGCTTGAACCACTAGTCGTACATGCACGACTGTCCCATTGAGTGGCCCGTATTGCCTCTTTGGGGATCTTTGATTATAGTAATGCTAATGTTGATTTAGCAGACCAAATATCCTATTACAGTTCCTTAAAGAAAATATTACAGTGGCATAAAAAGTTTAATACAGCTATTTTGTGGTACAGCAGTTGTAAATATGTGTTATATATACTAACAGTGGAATATTTGTAAGATTTCCTTGTTAATGTTTCTTGACTGTTCATGAATATGTTTCATTTAAGTCAATGAAGTAAATTTGTTATAATAATTGGTATGAATACTTTTAATAGACGTAGGCAGCAATATATTCAGATTCAAGCAACTAACTGGACTCCATTTATTTTATTTTATTAAAAGTGATCAGATTTGTTTGTACAAGCTGCCTAGAGGGGACAGTCATGCATATACCACTGGTGGTTCAACCCAGTGGTGCTGTGTTAATGCCTTCTACAGTATTGGCTTATAGCCACTGAATTGTGAAAAATGCAAATTAAATTGGTTACCATGTCCCCAAGATATCTTTGTTGTTATTGCTCTGTGTTGTTCTTGTCTGTGTGTTTTAATATTACAGGCTACCAAGATGGAAATGATGCAGAAGCTTCAGGGCCATCCAGAAGAGGTGGACGAGGTGGTTTCCGAGGTTGCCGTGGAGGATTTGGTGCAGGAAGAGCAAGTTAGTAGTGCATTGCAAGGGGTGTAGTTCATCTGTTCAGAAGAAAGTGATTTTTTGAAAAACATTGCATAAAGTTGTGAAGATTAAATTTATTAGTACAGTGGCTGATACAAACGAATCATTCACCTTGTGTAAAACATTTTAGGCATATAATTATGTATTTGTTAAGTTGGAATATATGAACGTTTCCCACCAATTTGTGTGACTCTGCTTTTAGTATTGCATATGGTTAAGTGCAATACTGTAGAGCCTTTGGTAATAGGCTGACTTTATGAATAGGTAGTCTTATATATGGCTGTACACCTCAGTCTTCTTTCACCAGGGTGGTGTTCTACCTTAAATTCCACCAGCCATCATTCTTAGAGCTTAATGAAGTATTGTCTTCAGAAATCACTGTTGAAATGTGTGTACCTCTTAGGGCAGATTTAGTGGTTTTAGATGCTAAAAACATCAGTACATTTGTAATGATTACTAAATGCATAATGAGTTAGTAAACTTCATTTTTACAAAGTGGTGGGACCTACAGGGTTCTGTGGAGCTCTGGTTAGGTTAGATTTGGCAGGAGCACAGGGGTGGTGTTCTGGGTAGTAAACAGTGTGATGCAAGGTTAAGTTTCTGGGATCAGCAACAGAGCTACTACAGGGAGAACATTTTTCTTTCTTTCTTCTTTTTTTTTTTGCGGTATGGGGATTGCACTCAGGAACTTGTGCTTGTCAGGCAGGTGCTTATTCTACTGAGCTATCTCCCCAGCTTCAGAACATTTATTTTGCTTATGTCATAGTTTGGCATAGTATTGGCTCTAACTTATCTTATAAAATAGTGTGAAATTGGTAATTGAAATGTGTAATATATAGAGAAGTACTTTGTGTGATTCTTAGAAAAGTATTCATTATGATTCTTGCTAAACCATTGTACCCAATATCTTTTTTTTTTTTTTTTGGCGGAACCAGGGATGTACCCAGTATCTTTTAATTTCTTTTTTTTTTTTTTTTTTTTGTGTGTGTGTGTGTGTGTGTGTGTGTGTGTGTCCAGCTCAGCCCACCAGGGGGCGGGGCTGGCTGACATGTGGTGCTGGGGGATTGAACTGCGGCCCCTGTGCTTTGCTAAGCTTGTTCTAAGTAGGTGCTTTAGACCACTGAGCCATCTCACCAGCCCATCTTTTAATTTCTGACACTGTTACTTTACTGAATAATGAGAAACTTCTTAAAATTAATATAATTTAATTTTATTTCTCCAAATAAAGGCAATGAATGTGACCATGATGATGGGGTGCAGCGTGTTGGTGGCCTTTTTAGTTCTAAAAGAACAGCAGTGAGTGGTACAGGTGAGAAATGAGACTTAATAATGAATATTACTCATGCATGTTTTTAGCACTAGGATTAATAAACTTAATATTTATTTAAACATGCAATGGTGGTTAATGACTTACTTGCTTATTAGGCCTGTAGGAAAAAATACATGGGTAGTTTTGTATGTATACAATTTATGTATTGTGAAATACTTTCATGTTTTCTGTCAATTAATTTGAGGTATGAATTACACTTTTAAGTGGAAGAAGGAAAATGAAGCTTAACGCTCAAAGAAAGCTTTCTTAGAATAAAATGATTTGAGAAAAAAATGAAGTAGAATGCAGATATTGATGAAAAATGTTCAGTAGAGATAAGATTTAAATGTGCAGTGAAAGAACTAGGGATACTGAGTAATTACTTTATATTAATAAAAATAGTTGTATGGTTCATGTGCTTGAGATTAGTGTTTTCTCTAAATATTTTGCAAACAATGCTGTGCAGGTAATGGTGACCCTTACCACAGCAGAAGTGGCAGTGGACGTGGGCGAGGTAAGTTCTTAATTGGTTTGTGATTCTTGTTAAAGCCAGGTTGCCACGGAGGATTTGGTGCAGGAGGATCAAGTTAGTAGTGCATTGTAAGGGGTGTAGTTCATCTGTTCAGAAGAAAGTGATTTTTTAGAAAACCTGTCACATAAAATTGTGAAGATTGTTTATTAGCACAGTGGCTGATACAAATGAATCATTCACATTGTATAAGACATTTTAGGCATATAATTATATGTTTGTTAAGTTGGAATGTATGAACTTTTTCCAGAAGTTTGTGTGACTCTGCTTTTAGTATTGCATATGGACAAGTGTTGTAGAGTCTTTGGTAATAGACTGATTTTATAAATAGATAAAAGGCTAAATATATCAAAGGCTAAATATATATTCAGTTTAAAAATATATCTTTGTAAACTGAATTTAACTTTGAAGTTAGGTAACTGTTACTCTGTTTATAAACTCTGAGTAGTGTAAATTTACATAGCAAGTATTGAAAATAATATCCTGATTATTTCCCTTTTAAAACAACATTTTCAGCAAGAGTTACATACTATAGCTGTTTTGGTGAATACATGCATGAGAGTGTTTACTGAGTCCTCACTGAGTCTTCACTTATACTAAATAAAAACTGAACCCACCTAAAATTCACCAGCAAATAACTTTAATGCAACTATAAAGTGGGATACTCTGCAGATGTTAAGTGTTGAGATATATTTATATGTATAGATTGTGAAAAATGCTTTTCTTAGGATAATTATTTGCTGTGTCTAGGGGAAAAGTTCAATATATGTGATTTTATTAATATTCAGGTATATAAAAGTTAAAATGCTTTCCATTAAAACTTGTTTGATGCTTTTAGATTATAATTCTGAGAGTGATGACATCACTTTCTCTTTTATTGGATGCTTTAATACAGTAAAAGTTTTTTTAAATATTACCTAAATCTTAGATCTGGAGGTATGGCTCAGTGATAGAATACTTGTATACTGTGTCCAATGCCCTTAGTTTGATTTCCAGTATCACAATAAAATAAAGTTGCAAGCTAGTTAAGTCAAATATTCCATTAATAAATTTTAGAAGTAGCATTTCAAGACGTGTGGACACAAAATGAGGAAATTATTGAGAATTCATGTGTAAAAGAGTTGTATCTGATTAACTTTTCTATCTAGTATAGTAATAGTACCTAAAAGTGGCATAGTAGGTCATTAGTTACGTAATGATCTAAAAATGTAGCTATAGAGTTAGCTTTTTGAGTACTCGTATTAAAGAAACGTGCCTCTTGTCTGAATAAGAACCTAGAATACTTCCAAGACAAGGAGAAGCAGGGTGGCCAGCTTCAACATAAAGACAAATTATTTCTCTTCTGCCTTTTTGTTCTGTCTAGGCCCTTAGCAAATTTAGTATTGCTTGCGCATGTTTGTGGGGGGAATCTTTCTGATTGTCCACTGACTGATATGTCAGTATTTTCTGAAAATGTTCTCATGGATGTAAGCAGAAATGATGTTGGTGGTTATTTGTGTATCCCTTACTATAGTCAAGTTGACCCTTGAAATGAAGCTAGCATCACAGCTAGCATCTGAGAGCATAGGTTTAGAGTGGGTTCCCACCATTCTTGCTGAAAGATTAATTTGGTCTAAATTGTACAAATGCTTGATCTATGCTGAATACTTGCTTGCTTCCCTGGAGTCTAGAATTTTGTTTAGGATATGTGCTAAACAGCAGGTACCTATGTTATTAGCCCATAGTGAAAACTCTGGCACTTTCTGATGCAGATGACATTTAACTTACATTTCCACAACCCTAACTCCAGGAAGATGAAACTCTTGGCAGTTTGCACCTAGTTTTTTCTCTGGGATTTTCTGCATGTTCTTCTCCTTATTGGTGATTTAGTTCCCTGTTCTTCCACTGTGTTGTATCATAGCCATGAATATGACTATATTGTGAATCTTACGAGTTCTTTCAAGGAATCGTTGACCTAAGACCATTGGTGACCTTCAACGCCACCAACCCATGTCATTTCTTTACTAATTAAAGATATAGGAGCTTAAGAAAGACACAGTCATGTAGAATAGTGTCATTTGCCATAAATCATCACTTTTATACTAAGAAAACTAAAAATACTACAAAACTCTATTCTTTGTGTTTGTAGTACTAGGAATTGATCCCAGGGCCTTGTATTTACTAAACAAGTGCTCTACCACAGAGCTGTGTACCTCAAATCCCTAAGATTCTGTTTATTTTATTTTAACTTATCATCTAACATATTATTTGCAAGAAGGGACTTTAACATTTCCTATCCATTTTGAGAATGTTCTTCTTTGAAGACAACCAGTGAAAATGATGACACACACACAGCTCTGTATCTTGACTGTCACTATGAATTTCTTTAATAGGTGGTTACAAAGGTTTAAATGAAGAAGTAATAACAGGCTCTGGAAAGAGTAAGTTTGACTTTAATGCATTGGACTTTTTAGGAAAAATTTGTTTCTTTTACCCCATCAGTTTAAAAACAAAACAAAAAAACCCCATCTTTGTTTGATCTTTAAGATTCTTGGAAGTCAGAAGCTGAAGGAGAAGCTGGTGATATTCAAGGTACATTGATCCTATGATCCAGATGAGTGTATATTGAATTAATTAGAAATACAAAAATCTTTAAAGGCAGAGTTGATTACATTTTTAATTTTTAAAGGTTTGAGCAGTGAACACATTAGTTGTAATCAACGCAGACTTCTGTATGTAAAACTTGAGTTTGTCAGTGTCTTGTTGTAGTTTTTCTTCTAGTATGTATAAGTATAAATTGTTTTTGCTTGTTCCAAGGGCCAAAAGTGACCTACATACCTCCACCTCCACCAGAGGATGAGGACTCCATCTTTGCACATTATCAGACAGGCATAAACTTTGACAAATATGACACTATTCTTGTAGAAGTATCTGGACATGATGTGCCACCAGCAATTCTTGTCAGTATATTGTTTCTCTTTTGATATGTAGCAGACTTTCCTTTAAAAATACTTGATATATTAAGTTTATGTCAACCCATTTATTTGTAGTATTTGATGGGAAGTTTTAGTTTTTGGAAATTACAATTGATTGTTATGTGCTAGATTTTATTCCAATTCCCAATACCAAAATGGACACCTTATTTAAATTTACTAAAAAAAGATTTTTTCTTAGAGATTCAAGATGTTTACATTCTAAGTATGTGAGAAAAATGTGTCTTAGGAGTGTATTTTCTAAGAGTGAGGGGAGCTTTCTGTCTCATCTTAGTAATTATAATGAGTCTTTGTTACTGATGAGAGTTTTTAATATCACAGGATTTGAAGGGGCAAAAATGTTTCTACTGTCTATTGGAAATACTTCTGATTCTGTCAACTCATAATAAACAAGGCCCTAGATATTTATTTTTGACTAGGGTTTATTGGTAACGCTAGTGTAAGGTGGAATAAAAAAAATTTGAAACTAGCTCAGATAGATGTTTATAAAGTGATATACATACAATATATGGAATTTAATCATTACTTTTTTCTGTTTTCAGACTTTTGAGGAAGCTAATCTCTGTCAGACACTTAATAATAATATTGCTAAAGCTGGCTACACTAAACTTACTCCTGTGCAGAAATACAGTATTCCTATTATACTAGCAGGACGAGATATGATGGCTTGTGCTCAAACAGGATCTGGAAAGACTGTAAGTAATTTTTCTAAATATATTTGTTTCTTCCTATGTAGTTTGACTCATTGGATAGAAGTCTTACAATTTCAGTAAGCTGTCATAAATATTCATGTTTTTGCTCCTAGTTTTTTGTTTTATTGGGGTTTGTGTGCTGTTAGGTTTTTTAAAACTATTTCTAGAATAGTGTTATATTGATGGGTGATTAACTTGTTTCTGAGCATATTCAACTCTTTCTGCTATATAACAGTTATCTAAAATAAAAATGATTGAAAAATAAAAGCACCGAAGGTTATAAAATGTTAAGAGAGGAGAAAGTTTATATAATATAGTCAATAAAATTTTTGAGTTTCAAGATGAGAAATACATGTATGAATTGTGTAAGGCCCTGAGCTATCTGGCTTGCCCTCCATTTTAGTCTTAATCAATCTCCATATGATAGTTGAGGGGAAATAGATTAATTTTATAACATAGAAACTGTTGAGAGACTTAAATATGCTCTAAGGTTATATTTTATGTAAGAGTTGTACCTGCCTAGGTGAGAAAAACATAGCACAGCATTTCACTTGCCTGATGTAACTTCAGTAGGTATAAACCTCCAAATAATAACTTCCAAATTTTGTTCTACCTGTAATAATTTTTACTTCCGAAGGACTCATTTAGAATAATTTTTAAATGCAGTAATTTGCATCAAATTATAGCTATATTTTCCTCCATAATAAGTTAATGTTGAGTTATTTAGAATACATGAGCATGCTTGTTTTCTTAAAAGGCTGAAAAGTATTTTGATGGAGTACAACTTAAGTGTTTCCTAATTTTATCAAGCATTTTATGTTGTATATTATAAGCATAAAGACTTAAATGTTAACTTGTTTTAAGTAAAAAATTGTTTTAATTTCTCAACTTAACTATACCAGCAAGATGGAAGAAGAATCTTAAAGGCTGTAGAGGCATGAGGAATAGCTTTCCAATGGACAAGAGTGATTGCAGTATAAATGTATAAATTAGACCATTTAACTTTTAGGCGGCTTTTCTCTTGCCAATTTTGGCCCACATGATGCGTGATGGAATAACTGCCAGTCGCTTTAAAGAATTACAGGAACCAGAGTGTATTATTGTAGCCCCAACTCGAGAATTGATCAACCAGATTTATTTGGAAGCCAGAAAGTTTTCTTATGGGTCAGTATATTTGAATTCCATTTGAGAGAGTATTTTCTTGTTTTGGGAACAGCTCAGTGATAATGGACTCATATAATTTTTAGCATTACTTGAAGTAATTTTTCTTAATTTCATTTATAGAATCTTGTATTTTTAAAAGAAATATGCTTATTAAAATTAGATAATGTGGACAGCCATGAGAATATTGGTATACTTTTGTAGTTTTAAATTAAAACTTGGAGTATTCTAATTAGTCTTTTACATAGTAAGTTTTATAATCTAGGAAATGACTTCTGCATAAATGGACCTAATTTTTAATGATTTAAAAATTGTATATATACATTTCTTATTTTTTGTGGTATTGGAGAGTAAACTGAGAGCTTCCCACATTTTATTTAAGACATTTAACATTTTATTTATTTAGGTATTGGTACTGGGAATCAAACTCAGGACCTTGCACTTGCCAGACAGGCACTTGTGCCACTGAGCTACATCCTCAGCCCCAATTAACTTTCAAACTTAGACCTATTTAAGTAGGACTATAATGAACATATTGCCAAATGCAGTTTTTTTTTTCCCTAATGAAACAAGGTCTTGCTGTGTTGCCTAGCTGACCTTGTGACGTTGAACTCTTGGACTCAAGCAGTCATCTTATCTCAGCCTCCCTAATTATTAAGACTGCCTCCTGTGTGTGCTGCTGTGCTACCTTGCCAGGCTAATTTTTCTGCTTAAGTATTTCTGTAAAGTAATTTTTTGAAATCAATTTTAATATTAAAGAGTATGAATTTTTTTTTCAACAAATAACTCAGTGCATATATTCTTCTTAGTGGTTAATTGCTGTACAAGATGCGGACTTGAGATGATATTTACAAACACCATTAGAACAAATCATTCTATTCATTAAGAGAATGCAACTATATATCTATCCTAACCACTTTGAATACACAGATACAAAATGGACATTCATCTGTATAAGGAGTATGAATTTTTAAAGCTTGCGCTAATGTACATTTCTACCAGCACTGTATGAGAAGTCTGGTTCCACTACACCCTTTGGCAACGTTTGGTATTTTAGTTAACCTTTTGATACCTATCAAATCATCTTAAGAGGTAGTAGCTTAAACAGTAGATAATCACTTTGTCAGTTTCCAGGAGTTAAGAGTTGGGAATACATGTAAAATATATTTAAGTCACCTAGTTCTCAAGTAGTAAATAATAAGCATTTAAGATAGTGAACTTACTTAATAAAACATAGTTTTTCCCCCTATACTCTGGATTTCTTTTTCTGGCTCTTTGATTTACCTCTTCAGTTTCTGTTAACAGTTTCATATATATCTTTTCAGAAATAGTATGAGTCCACTTTAATCCTCCAAGAAGTGGTAGCATACTTATCTGTTAGCATCTTTAAAACTTGGTATTTCAAAAGCTAACAGCGTAGGGGCTGGGGAGATGGCTCAGTGGAATAAGCGCTTCCCTGGCAAGCGCAAGGGCCTGAGTTCAATCCCTGGTTCTGAAAAAAAAAAAAAAAAAAGCTAACAGTGTATGTTGGAGGTAATGTTTAATCTAGATCCATAGCCCTTTGAATGAATATACTGTATGCCTTCGAATGTGCATACTGTAATGTAAATCTTTTCTTATGCACACTTAGCTGTCAGACTCTTTATATTGAAAATAATGTTGGCAATGAATGGTACTAAATACTCATCTCTGACCATTTGTGGGAACATAGCTGAACAATTAATTTCTAGATGTGAATTTAGTGGGAAAAGGATACATTTCTGTTTATAGAACAGAAATTTTAGAGTTTGTGTCAGAGTTCTGATTCACTTACACCTAGCTAACGGTATTATTGTACCATGTTGTGTAGTGTTTTCCTTTGTGATCCTTTTTAAAGTAATATTGAGCCTTCTAAAATAATTCAAAGCTTTTGTATTTTTATTGATTATCTGTTCATGTGTTTAGGTTTTGTTTTTTAAATTTGTGAAAGGAGCATAGTATTGTTTCTCATTGATTTTTGAGGAACCCTTTATCAGGTAGGTTGCGAAGTATTTTTCCTTGTTTGTCATTTAGTTTTCAGCCTTAACCTTTCTACTTCTTCCTAGGCAGAATGTGTTTCTTTGGTAGTTTACTGTTCTGTATGGATTTCTGGTGTGTGTTATAAACAAATGCCTAATTTCAGAGAACTAGAAAATGACATTTTTCTTGTCAATAGGACTTGTGTAAGAGCTGTTGTCATATATGGAGGAACACAGCTGGGACATTCAATCCGACAGATAGTACAAGGCTGTAATGTATTATGTGCTACTCCTGGAAGATTGATGGATATCATAAGTAAAGAAAAGGTAGGACTTAGAGGGATAACTAAGTTGCGAGATGGATCATTTCTGACAGGGGGAAGGGATGGAGTAGTGTAAAGTATGTTTACTAGAGTACTATTTATATTTTAGATTCCATCAATATCCTCCATCAATATCCTTCAATTAGTTTCCATGTAATTCTTAAGGTAATCCTATAGATCATAGTATTTTGTACTTTATACAAACTCTTTGAGATTGTATCATTTGTCTAAAATCCCTCACATAGCACTTGTAAGTGATAGTTAGAATTGGGATTTTCTGAAAGTAGGAGAAAAAGGACTGCAGATAAAGGGAGAAAAAGGGTGTGAGACAGGTAGAAGTTGGGGTTGGTCATGTTCAACACAGTATATATGCATGTATGGACATGCTGTCATGAAACCTATTAATTTACACAAGTACTATGTGCCAGTAAAAGGTTGAAGAAAAAGAGCAACCTGGGTCTGATTCTAGAATACATGTCCTATACTCTATTATACTGGGAGAGAAATGAAGGAAGTGCTTTTAGCTAGTTTCATATCTATCTTGGTGAAATACTTTCTTGCAAGACACCCTTGCGACATCAGTAATTTTGTCTCCTGTTTAGTGCTGTGTATTTACTTAAGAATTCACATACCTGGACATAACGGTATGCACCTGTAATCCCAGTACTCTTGAGACAGAATTAGGAGTTTGAGCCCAGCTTGGGCACTTACAGACTTACGGAGACCCAATCTAAAAAAAAAGGATTGGGGATATAGTTAAGTGTGAAGGCCTTAGATTCAAACCTCAGTACCATAACTAATAAGTAAATAATTTGCAGATCAAATTATCAGTGCTTTGCCTTCACTTTGATAAACATTATCTGGTTTTGTAAATGCTCTTTTAAAAATGGAGTTACTTAAAACATGCTCTTTCTGCACAAAGGCACTTTTCTGAGATTATTAAAAGTGTGTAGAAGCTGGGCATGGTAGCATGTGTCTATAATCTCAGATTAAATCATTTTATGCATTGGTTTCTAGTCTGAAAATATTTTAGCAGTTGGAATTGTGGAGAATATTATTTTTCAATATAGATTAATACATATTTTCTGTTCTTACCCTTGAAAATATAGATTGGTCTCAAGCAAGTCAAATATTTAGTTTTGGATGAAGCAGATCGGATGTTGGATATGGGTTTTGGGCCAGAAATGAAGAAGTTAATTTCTTGCCCAGGAATGCCAACAAAAGAACAACGTCAGACACTTTTATTCAGTGCAACTTTTCCAGAAGAAATTCAAAGGCAATATTTTTATTTTTAAAATAAGTTCATTATATATGTAAATGTCCTATGGAAATAGAAGCAGTGTAAATAATCTTGTGTATTTGAGATTTGAGTATTTTTAAAAATTTTTACACAGGTAATTTAAAAAGTAGGTTGTTACTAAAAAGCTTACTACATTTTTTATTGTTTCTTACCCTTGTTTCTGGCTTTTCATTAGCATCACATTCTGTTTAGTGTGTGTGTGTGTATTGTAGCATAGCACCTATCTAGGCCTTAATAAATGCTTAGTAAATGAAGTTATTATGCCCTAGTTTCCAACCTAAATATATAGAATTTGGGAATGTTGGACTCTTGGTAGAATATTCGTATACAGGTATCAATTATTGTCCAATATTTGAGGGTGATGCTATATACTACATAAGCTGCTGAATTCAGAAATTAGGGTGATTCATCCCTGTTATATGGCAACTTCCTAGCAATTGCTTCTTTGCTTGACACAGGGAGTCCTTAAGTATGTAAGCAACAGCATTCACTTATAATTTGGTAGGATTACAGATTCCCAAGTGGATTATAGGCGATGAATTATAGATACTTTTGCATCTCTGGCTTCCATACTCATTTACCATGTAGAGATTTTGGAGTCAAAGATTTGCTGTGTCCTGCAGGACAATACCCTTTCCTCATTAAAAAGTTGCCTCCACACTGGCCTATGAGCTGGTCTTTCCATAGACTAGTCCACTGTTTTCTCAGGCTGGCAATTTCTAGGTGGTGCACGGTGCATGACGACCTGTGGATTTTAGGGTTATAGGTCTTTTTTTGCTGTATAGTTAGTCTTTTGGCTCATAAAATGTCATGTAGATCCCTTGCTAGTGTGTCAGCACACTGCATATCCTGGGATACTGGTTCTGGCTGTGGTTTTACTATGCTCAAAATTTGTGAAATAAGAGGTTTTTTTTTTTTTTTTTTTTTTTTTTGCAGAACCGGGGATTGAACTCAGATCCTTGCGTTTGCCAGTCAAGTGCTTATCCTACTGAGCCATCTCCCTGGCCCCATAAAAGTTTTTTATTGGAGGAAATCTAAAAGCATTGGATCAAGTTGGCAATATTTTTTTCTTAGTGGTGCATAAAATTTAATGATTGGATCATATCTTAAATTTGAAATGGTGTATTTGTATTCCTACCATTATCTTTGTTTACTATGCAGTAGATAATTACCTCTTAATTAGCAGGTAATACTATTCATGCCTGTCTCTTTTTGGATTTACCTACAATAGGAAAGTATTTGGATGTTTGCCACCCAAAATGACTAATGTGTATTACTTCCAGTCAGTATTATTTGTTGGAGATCTTTTTTATAAGACATTTATTAGCCTTGGAGATATGTGATAAAATAATATTACCTGATGGAATTATGTACATTCTTAATTCCTGATTCATCACAGTTACCAGTTACCCACTGTTATGCCCAAAGGGTTTCTCTCTCTCTCTCTCTCTCTCTCTCTCTTTTTTTTTTTTAGGTATTTAGGACAGGGTCTATAGGTTCTCACTACATAGGTCGAACTTGTAGTGATTCTCCTGTTTTCAGCCCCCCAAGCTCTGGGATTACAGGCATGTGCCACCATACCCAGTCTCAATCACAGTTTCAGTGTGCCTCGGGGGCAGGGCTGGCATGGCACAGCACGCCAGGGATTGAACCCCTGAAGCTGCACTCTGCCTAAGCAGGCACTGTAGTCTGCTGAGCTATCTGGTCGGCCCCAAGTATTTTCCTTATTTTGCATATTCCCTGCACCACTGTAGCATTGATTTCCTTGGCCTGCTCTTCTCTACATGTTCATGTTCTCCAGAATTTCATTTTTAACTCTTTAAGAAAGATTTCCTCTTAATTGAGTAAGGTATTTGGCAAGCTCACAGAGGTTATAGGGAATATGATATTAGACAAGTAAATGATTAGTGAACTACAAAAGACATGAAAAGATGAGTTCAACAAAATGACTCAGACATCAGTGATCAGCACAGAAAAGAATGTGAGTCCATAAAAGGCTCCAAGTAGAAATTTATGACAGTTCTACCAAAAGTATAGGCAGGGCTGGGGAGGTAGCTCAGTGGTCTAAGTGCCTGCCTGGCAAGTGCAAGGACTGGAGTCTGGCCTGCCTGGCAAGTGCAAGGACTGGAGTCTGATCTCTGGTACCACATGCCATGTGGCCCTGGCAGCGTGTGATGCCAGTCCTGAAAACAGGCTTGGTGTTCATGTGGAATAATTCTGATGTACAGGTTTTAGTTTCCTCCCATTTCATGCCCACAGATCAGCTTTGGGGGAGTTGGGAGTTTTTAGAGTATTTTATTGACCTCTCGTCTCATGTTTCTGCTTTTATGTGTTGAGGCTTGTGGGTTGATGTAGTGTGGGAAGCTTTGTTTTCTATGTGGAGACCTCTTTTATTAATATCTCCTTTTTGTTGGTGTGGTATCTTCTTGGCATGGCTAACTATTGGCCTTTGCCTAAGTCCCAGAATCCAACCACCATAATTGACTTGGGAAGTGAGTTTGCTGTGTATTTGGCGTGGTTCTCATTTTTTTTTTTTTTTAGGAATGGGTCACAGTACATTCATGTCCCCAACATGGTTCAAATACTGGCATCCCAAGAAAATTAATGGGAACAGCTATATCACCTTCGATATAATAATAAAGCCATCATCGATTATAGTGTCAAACTGCCTAAGTATTGACAAACTCTAAGGACCAATAATATACCACCCATAACTATAGACAAGAGATCTATAGTTAATAGTATGAACATGAAGGGAAACCAAATATTAACCTACTAATGTATGGTAAATACTAAATAAAAGACCTTTAATTCTACTAGCAATAGAACAGAGTTCAACAGCAGTAGTATAATATTAACCAGCAATCTAGACATTCATAGAGTTCACTAGTTACACTAGTAAATGTAGAGCACATGCAGAACTGGAGAAGGAAAAAAGCAAAATTTAAAAATCAGTGGACTATGAGAGGAGAGAAAAGTATGTGTGGGGATTCATATTTAAGAGTAAAAGGTAATTAATAGTATTAGAGAACAGTTGCAAGAAGAAGGAAGTAATAAAAAGATAAACAGGAAATAAAGACAAGAAAAGAAGAACGACAAAAAATTAAAGAGGAAAACCAAAAAGGAGGAAAAACCTTGCAGTGCTCCAAAAATCCAGTAAGGGAAAGACATAACAACAACAAAATAGAAAAAATCAAGATTGAGACAAAAAATTCCTGCATTTTTGGATGAGTGGTTTCTTTCCAAGATTTGTGATCCTATCCATCCAGTCCTGTTTTTCTGTGCCTGGCTTTAGGGCCTATGGGTTTTTGTGTTGCCCTCCCTGCACCTTCTATCTGTTCCCCTACACTGTGGTTATGGTACAAGCCAAGACAGGTCTTTGCTCCTTTTGGTAGATGGGAATGTGTGATCAAGCCTCTGGACTCTGCTTGACACAGGGCAGGGATCCAGTGCTGTTGGACCTACTGTCTGCAGTCTTTGGTTCTGGTTGCTTCCTTCTCTTGCTGGGCATTTTGCTTGTCTAGAATCAGGTCAGCCTGTTAGTCCTCATCTCTGCTGCCTCCTACCATGGGGAAGCAAAAATGTGGAGCAGCTTGGAGTTGGTAGCTGATCTTGCTTTTTATCAGGGGTGTGGCTGTGCTACGTGGGTCTGATTGTGGTGTTTAGAGGGATGCTGCTCCTAGGGCTTGGGCCTGCTTGCTGTGGTGGGGAGAGGTATTTCTAGTCTAGTTTGTGCCTGCTTCTACATTTGTTCTTATTTAAAAATTTCTAGTTTATGTACTTGATATTTATTTTAGTTTATACTTTTTATTTTTTCCATAATTTTATTGAGAAACAAACAGCAGTGAGACAGTTTCAAACCAAATTGGTAGGACAGTTTCAATAATTAACATATTGCATACATTCTTCCTAGTGGTTAATTGCTGTACAAGATG